CCCACAGAGGTCTAAAATTCTACTGGCTAAATCAAAAAATGTTTATGCATGACTAATTGCTATCCTGTTGTCCTGTAGACAATAATTCATCAATCTTTGTGTATAATACATTATTAACCATTTGTGTACCTACCCTGTCTTCATGCAGCACATGGCACCTATATTGGTCATCCCATCCGTCATACAAGTCTTTCTCTTTCGCCAAATCGCCCACATTAATGTAGTTCAGTCCTGTCTTTTGTGCCAGCTCACTCGCCGTTACAGTTTTACCAGTTCCTGGAGTTCCCGTCACCAAAATATTTGGTCGAGTTCTAACTGAAGCCATGATCGATTCTTCATAGCAACCCAGCCTTCCTCGCATTGGATATTGGGCCTGGGCACAAGGATCTTTATTTTTCCGTGCTCTAGATGGCATCTAAGGGCTAAAAATCGCGAAAATGGAAAAGATGAAACGTGAAATTAAAGACGAATGTCTGGTCCGATTAGTTTTGTAAAATTCATTGTTTCTTTAAGTCAATTGCCGGCCTTTCAATACGCCTCAACAGCCTGGTTACTGATTCCATCCACTGTGTTTCAATTTTGAGAAAGATATCTTCCAACCTGTGATGGCTCGAAAAAAGGAAACAGTTTTTCCCGTTACAATACACAGAACTTATTGCTTCAAAATGATGACAGTTAACGGTGCTATTATCAAATTTGTATTAGATACAACTTTTCATGAGCGATGTTTGACTGCTATGAATTGGTAACGAAAATTCGCCTTTCTATTCGCATCACATTGTGGGAGAATAGCATTACATTATTGTTGAAAGTAAATGTGATGGTAGTATTACACGGTCTCTCATTCTTACGGCAATCCTCGTCATCCTGTAACGCCTCCCTCTCAATGTAGAGCGCTCTTTAAGTGCCAGAATTTCTCGCGAGAAAAACCGACAAAGAGAAAAGGAGGAAGATATTTTCAAAAGAATCGTAACAAGGTCCACGCCGTTTTTACGGTTGTCACTGCCCACTGACCGACTGAGATTACAACTGTGTCTCCCTTCGGTTATTCATTGCGTTATATCAATAGAAAACTACATGATTAAAAGAAACCAAACCACACTTTATTTAGTGGAAGTACCATCTTTATTCATCATATTTAGGTCACCATAACAATTAATAATGAGGAAAAATAATAAATTTCAAATATCCAAGCCATGTCCATGTCTTAACCATGGACACAAAAAGTAGCAAAACCATCTTTAAAGGAGCACGGAGAGTGTGCTGATGTAGAAGTCATTATATACAATTAAAGCCCTCTTCACTCAAAAGAACGGACAATGTTTATTGAGTTGCGTAGGAGCTGCTAGGTCGACACGGTTCCTCACTATCGATGGAATCCTCAAAGAAATAGCAGTCCCTGTGGCGCCGAAGAACCGATATGGCGATATCTTCAACTGAATGAGGTTCAACTCCCAGATCTTTCAGTCCTGGTAAACCTGGTGTAACCTGGTCTGATAGGAACTCCTGATAAAAAAAAAAAACAGAAAAAAACAACTACAAAACTTGAATAAATCTTAGTTACAGTCAACACTGGTAGACATTGATTACACTGACAAGCTGTGGTTCGGCTGTGAGGTTTCAGTTATAATAAATACACGAGCCTCGTGACCGACCAATCGCAGTGGAATAACGGCAAGAAATTACATTACTCCATTCTTACCCTAAACAGCATATCTCGTGTAAGACGCGGGTTGAATATGGACTGCTCCATGACCCAGGCTATAAGGCTGGAGGGTAACACAATAATCAAACAATAGAACTTTTTCCTTAAACAGAATAAGATGAGAAGGCAAAGAAAAAAAGAAAGCAAAGGGTAATAGCCTCAGATGATAAAAGCTATAATAGCGTCCATGAAGTTTACTTTGTAATAAACAAAAAATCCCAACAATAATCACACAATTCATAACATGTCAGGTAAACAAAGCAATATGAATAATGATAATAGACTAACGGATTGTTCAATCACAGCTTACTTGTACATATTTCTTGGTATGTTGTAGTAAGGAAGTTCTTTCCTAATCAACCGATAGATGTAGTCCAGAATATCAAGCAAGTAATATTCTTCTGGGCTATGAAAAAAAATAAAAAAGTAAATTAAGAAACAAACAAACAAACATCCCTACCACAGTTAACAATTAAATGTGGGGAGGCAACAGAGAAACAGGTATTAGCTTCTGTCACATACATTTATGTAAGCAAAAACCAACCAAGTTTTGTCATGAGATCATTTTGAAGCGAGTTCTGCTATGAACTGTATTTATATTGTCTACGATAAATATTGAAAAAGTAAAATTCCATGTGCTTGTGTATCTGTTCAGGTACAGATCAGAAATGAAATCAGTGTGGTAAGAATCAAATTCTGACCCAACTCATAACATAAAATGGTATTACAGATCTTACCCTGTAAGTTCAAATGTTTGCCCTATGCTCTCATCATTATTGACAGCATTTACTATTGCTTGGGCAACATCAGCCACCTGGAAACAAAATGGAAAACGTTTTTATCAACAATCACATAAAGAGTAAATCAACATAACATAATCATTGATTTAGTTATACTATCTTAATGCCTACACACAATCAAGCTATACAATCTATCCAGATACCCAATTTGCTCCAAATTTGATGATTTTAAGCCACATAAGACAAATAAACCATGTTAAAAATGTTTAGAAACTATCATAAAGAAATTGGGGTAACTTCCTAAATATTATTTTTATACACTGTCTTGAAATCATTCCTTCACAAATCTACAAAACCACTGTTGATGCCACACCTAAGTATCTATTTTTACATTCCTCACTACCCTTCTTGCAAACATCCCACACAAAGCCTCAAAACTTTTAAAGAAACTTCTATACTGTACCTAATACCTAGATTAAATGGAAATTCTCATGATCTTGCAGATGGGTGGTGGTAGCCCACTTCCATGAGATGACTACATGTAAATATAGTTCACATCACAAATTTTTAGGTACTGCAATGCTGCTCTGCTCATGAAAGTTATGCTTACAGTTCACTTACATAAACAGGCCTTTTAGTTGTGTTCATGCCTCCATCAATAAGTGGAATACCAAAAGGAATATTACCAAGATCTTAAAGAAGATAGAGAAAATAACTCAGTTAACAAGTCAAATTTTAAATTAAATTTATCATTAGGTTATATGTTAGAAAGTGTATTGAAAGCACACCATTGGTAACTTATCTTCAATATGAACTTACACACATAGTAGTTCAAAAACTGATCTTCATGGCCAAAAAACTTTGCAGGTCGCACAATGGTAGCATCAGGAAATTCTTCTCTAACAGCAGCCTCCCCACGAGCCTATCACATATTAAGTAAAACACAAAGTTGTTTCAGTACAGAAGAACTAAGGCAATATCATATTTAGTATTATGGCATTTTTCAAGAGAAGAATCTATCTAAATGTGAAAGGAAAAAAAACCATAAAGCTCCACAAAAACATATGTTAAAACAACTATCAAAACCAAACGAGGAAAACTCACATCTGCTAAATCTGAATAAATTAATTGTCACTTCAGTCTAAAATTCAACCCCATAGAAACAAATTTCATCATATGGCTTTCTAAAGAGAGGTTTTAAATTTTCTATTTAATTAAATTTCTAATTTTTTTTATAATTTCTTCCAAGTGTTAAGTACAGTTCCCCGGTAAATTTCATTTTCATGCTACACATAGGAGAGGAAACCTCTCTAAAGAACACAACACAGAGGCTAGGTCACATATTTTCAATAACACATACCACAGGCTGCCCACAGGCTAAACAATCATCACAGGTATCTAGACAAAACTACAATTTTCAGCTTTTTTTCTGTTCTTAAGCTATGGCAATAATTGCCATAGATTAAGAATGAAAATGTGTGACTGTGATTAACCTTTGACTGTAGAAAATTTGATGGACTATCCTCACTGGCATTAAGTGCTGACACATGGATTAAACGTTTGACTCCTGCTTCCCGAGCAGCTTTGGCAATAACCCTAGCTCCCTCACAATGGGCATCCTCAAATGTAAAGTTCCTGGGCAAAAAATATAAAAAAATAATGCCACATTGTATATGATGAGTAAGAATGTACAAGTAAATTTAAGTAAATGAAGTATAGGGACAAAGCTAGACCCAACGCTTGAGGTGGCTCTAGCACAGAGGTTGAATTATGTTTTTCAATTGAAGCTATACTTAGGTTTGGATTCTTTCCTCTGAGAAGCTATCAGTAAACACCTCCTGTACCTCTGCAGTTATCATACACTGGTAAACAGGTATATTCTGTATTTGTTATCAGTTAAGCACCAAAAAAAAAAATAATAATAATGCCAACTCTTGGGAGAAGGGGTGCAGCTGGGGGATAGGGTCATGGCTAAAAATTTGTTATATTTATAACTTTGTGAACTGGTGTAAATTACACAAGTCCTTAAACATCGTTTCTACTCTAATGTCTTTTGTATTGAAGTCAGAAACCCACCTTGTTTCAAACTGTCTGCCAATCAAGTTGATCACACAGTTGGAATGTTTCAAAACTTTGGCCACAGAATCAACATCTTTTAGATGATAATCCTTGAATATAAAAAAAGGGAAATTGTAACTTTTGAATAGTCCAGCAACAGCAATTTTTAAAAAAAAAGAAATTTCAAATTTGGTCTACATATTATACATATACATATTGTACATTCAAATAAAAACTTCTCCTGCTTTATGGTATCACCCTTGATTTTACTTTAGGAACCATTTGAACTGGTCAAAAATCATTCATAAAAATATAACCAATTGGTAATTGAAAACTACCAGAGGCTCTTCCTATACAGAAGATACATGTATATGATTATGTTGACTGGTTCAAGTGGAAACTTTTAATAATGATTTGGCTCATCTAATTTAAACATACATTCCAATGATGGTTGATGTAATTTGCACCAGGGCATGCATGAGAAAATTCTTAATGTACTTTAAGCCCACCAGCTGAAAGTAAAATACTCTACACGTAACAAACATCCACCAACTTATATTGACATCATTTTTCAAATTTTGATGAATTCTACTATCAGGTGAGAGGACTCAGCAGTTCTTTATCTTGAAAATACAACCTTTACATGTTCACTGTATGTTTCAAACTGACCCTCACTGAGTTATTAAAAGGAAAAAACTCTCTGTTAACATATTAAGCAGTATATTACTCACACCAAATTTAGGTTTAGGGTACTGTAATATGTTGTGATGTAATTAACACCAAGAACGACATATTAACAAAGAATTGTCAGCTCATTTACCCAACGTAATGGGTCACGTCCT